CAAGATTAAATTAATATATTGGTAGTGTGTTTTATTTCTAAAATTAACTTAAATAGTATTATTATATATGTGGTTAAATAACTTACAGATAGTGTAAATATATGTATAAATACAAGTACGTTTATTTTCTATTTGACCCTATTCTGAAGTTGACATTATTTTTATAATCGTAATTTTAACTTTTATTATTCATATCTTCATATTATATACTTCGTTTTATGTTGTTTATTTAATCTTGAATTGTTTTATAACTATACGCAAAAGTGCAAGTACTTGACTTTCGATATTTTAATTTTTTTTTTATATATAGTAAAATATATTTGTCTCCATAACATAATTGCATTAAGATAGTAAACCATCGAAGTCTGGCAAACAGAGTGGAATAAATCACAACTTTTATCCATGTATCATACCAACTTTGAAATTTGTTTTTATTTCACTTCATCAACGTTATTTACTTTTATGTGTTTGTGTCTATGTTATTGAAATAGTGCTTATCTATGTCCTGATAATATTATTATCATAGTGTTTTACGTGAACGGTATAATATGCGTGGGATAAAATAAATCAACGACCTAAAAAAAAAATCCTCTGGGGGCTGATATATCACCCATATCACCCCCCGTAAATACGCCACTGTTTAATTCTATGAAATTTCCACATGATTCGCTCGTTAACCTTAAGTACAGGGCCGTCCCGAACAACAATTCATGGGGGGGTGGTAGATCTATTAATTTGCCGACTGAACAATTTTTTTCTCGCTTCGCTCGAATACGTTTTCTACTATATTAAATTTATATTTATATTATTATTTAATTTCAGGGCTGGAAGTAGGTCACTTTTTTAAAATTGACTCACTTTAAGTCACTTATTTAGAAAATAAGTCACTTATGTCACTTATTTTCAAAATGTACCTAAATTTATATTTAAACTGCATATGGCCACCAACTTTATATTTGAATGTACAGTAACATGCCTGAATCGCGGTAAAAAAAAGTCCCGACGAAAATGAATGAAAATATATCAAAACTGAAGTATAAATATATTAAAATTGTATTGAAAAATACATTTAAGTTACATAAAATATTATATAATATCATAAAAAATGTTAATTGCTTACTTAAATCATATATTAAATTATAATGAAATTTAATTTAATACAAGTCCAAAATAATAAAATGTAATACATATACAATAATCAATAATAAATATAATTATAGTACCTACCTATAGAATTATAATAAAAATGCTATAAAATAATAAAAATGTAATATTATAATAAAGTACACCTCTTTCTTGTGTTATAACTTACGGCTGTTGAATAGGCTTGTTTATAGGCATATAACATATTATTATACCAATATCTTTGTTTTTATGTAATGTTCCTAATCAAACTTTCGTATATTTATTAGTCTACTACATTTGAAAAACCATCCGGGATGAATTCCTATTATAACAAACCATAGGCGTGTTTTTTAGTTATGATTAAAATAAAGAAAGTTCCTAAACAATGATCTTGAATATTATTCTAAATTATAAACATTATAAATTGAAATGGGTAATATGATTTAATCATTTGTTATTAAAATTTGTGTTTATTATTATCATTATTTTTTTGTAATTTCAACAAAATTAAGTAAGTTAGAATCAATTAAATCATAGGTATGTAGAGATTCAAAGACAAACGTTTAATAACTGTGAAGTTGTTACGAAACAAATGTATGTAGCTAACTTTTTTGTCACTTTTATGAATAAATTCAGTCACTTAGTCACTTTTTTAAATAGCCTTAACCACTTCCAGCCCTGTAATTTATACCATTTATTTATGACCATCAGGGTTTCTTCGACAAATCCCAACCCACAAACACACATGTAATGTGTCCCTTAACCAACCGTAATTCCCCTCACAAATAGTTGCCAATGGTTAAGACCAATAAACGAAGAAAAAAATTTCTTTACTTTATTAGTTGCTCATGTGAAAATAAAAATATTAGGTACCTAACAATTTATCATAATTTTACAACTTCCACATTCCATTTACCCAAATTAATAAAAATGTGTATTTTAAATCTTAATTAAGAACATGTTATAAGTATAATACCTATCAGTTTTAAACAAAATATTTTTATTAATACAATTTATAATAATATTATACATACAATTAGATATTAATTCTACGGTTTTTCAAAGTTGCCCTTAATGTTGCTATTTTGTTCATATCTAATTGATCAACCACATCTTTTTCCAGGCTTAAAATCATAAATGAATCCAATCTATCATCAGCTATAGATGATCTTAAATTATCATTGTCAAATGTTTTGCCACATTCCAAGAACTCTAATTTAATCCGCTTTCGTTTGCCGGAATTTGTTTCATTTTTATTGCCAAAATTCATGATTATTTAAACAGTAAAATGCAAAATTATATGAATAATAAGAAAAAATAATCACATAATATTAAAATTATAATAAATAGAAGACTAAACAGTTAATTTCTAGTAGGTAGCTACAGAACACGTTACCACTAACCTCGGACGAATAGTCGAATAGACGACAACTGATAACTATCGACTGCAAATGTGCAACAAATTTCAAGAATAATAAAATTATTTTTTTTTTAATACCAAGAATAAGTCAATACATACGACTACGGGTAACAGTTTGTACAACACTCGCGTAATGCACTGATAGTAGATAAACACATCTATTTTTAGCATTCGGTGTAATCGAAGTGCCGACGTTGTCGTCGTCTTATCTTTTATAGAAATATAATATTATATACAAATATATTTTGAAAATAATAAAAATACTATTAAAATACTGACGATGCCAAATTGCCGACAACTTTTACCAAGTGTCCAATTTGCCGACTAAATATTTAAAAAATCATGAGTGGGGGGGTTAGACACCCCCCCACGCCCCCCTCAAAGGACGGCCCTGCTTAAGTATATAATACGTTAATACGTATATTTACTTTACGGTTACTGTAACTAAATGTACTTACGTACGTTTCCCCAGCCCCCCCACCTCGTGTTTTCGCAATTTTTTTTTGCAAAACATTTAGTACTGAATTTGTACGAATTTGTACGATAAGAAACACAATTTGTATGAATTAATTTATGCAGTTAATCCAAAATTTGAGTGGGGGGGTTGTAGAAACGTTTCACCAGCCCCCCACCACACTAAAAATACTTTTTTTCACAAAACAACTATGCAAATATTTAGTTCGGAATTTGTACGAATTTGTACGACCGTCAAAAATATTTTTTGAAAATTCTTTCATCCCCAAAAACACATTTTACTCTATTGCCGTTTCCCCAGCCCCCCCACCGCACTAAAAATACTTTTTTTCACAAAACAACTATGCAAATATTTAGTACGGAATTTGTACGAATTTGTACGACCATCCAAAATATTTTTTGAAAATTCTTTCATCCCCAAAAACACATTTTACTCTTTTGCCGTTTCCCCAGCCCCCCCACCAAACTAAAAATACTTTTTTTCACAAAACAACTATGCAAATATTTAGTACGGAATTTGTACGAATTTGTACGACCATCCAAAATATTTTTTGAAAATTCTTTCATCCCCAAAAACACATTTTACTCTTTTGCCGTTTCCCCAGCCCCCCCCCACCACACTAAAAATACTTTTTTTCACAAAACAACTATGCAAATATTTAGTTCGGAATTTGTACGAATTTGTACGACCGTCAAAAATATTTTTTGAAAATTCTTTCATCCCCAAAAACACATTTTACTCTATTGCCGTTTCCCCAGCCCCCCCACCGCACTAAAAATACTTTTTTTCACAAAACAACTATGCAAATATTTAGTACGGAATTTGTACGAATTTGTACGACCATCCAAAATATTTTTTGAAAATTCTTTCATCCCCAAAAACACATTTTACTCTTTTGCCGTTTCCCCAGCCCCCCCACCAAACTAAAAATACTTTTTTTCACAAAACAACTATGCAAATATTTAGTACGGAATTTGTACGAATTTGTACGACCATCCAAAATATTTTTTGAAAATTCTTTCATCCCCAAAAACACATTTTACTCTTTTGCCGTTTCCCCAGCCCCCCCCCACCACACTAAAAATACTTTTTTTCACAAAACAACTATGCAAATATTTAGTACGGAATTTGTACGAATTTGTACGACCGTCAAAAATATTTTTTGAAAATTCTTTCATCCCCAAAAACACATTTTACTCTTTTGCCGTTTCCCCAGCCCCCCCACCGCACTAAAAATACTTTTTTTCACAAAACAACTATGCAAATATTTAGTACGGAATTTGTACGAATTTGTACGACCATCCAAAATATTTTTTGAAAATTCTTTCATCCCCAAAAACACATTTTACTCTTTTGCCGTTTCCCCAGCCCCCCCACCACACTAAAAATACTTTTTTTCACAAAACAACTATGCAAATATTTAGTACGGAATTTGTACGAATTTGTACGACCGTCAAAAATATTTTTTGAAAATTCTTTCATCCCCAAAAACACATTTTACTCTTTTGCCGTTTCCCCAGCCCCCCCACCACACTAAAAATACTTTTTTTCACAAAACAACTATGCAAATATTTTGTACGGAATTTATATGAATTTATAATTATTATTACGAGTATATTTTGTACATTTTAAATACAGCGTGAAATTCGTAAACTTGTAGGAAGCTACTCAAAATCACTACTTAACTATAGATTGTAGAATCTAAAACGTTACTAGTTTTGTTATATATGTGACTTACACACCGTTGGTGTCCACTCACCGTTGGTGATTAGTGACTTATGACTTTCGAGTAATAAATCATTTTTACGCTCCTGTTGATCGTGTTTTAGTTATTATTTATCACAATATTCTTAGAAATTATATATTATAAAACATAAAATAATATGTAAAAATATGTCAGGTTAAGTGAAAAAACATCCTTTATTATCTTTAAATACATCATTTTTATGATAATATACCTTATATTAACACTTTACCAATTTAAATACTGTATATAACGAATTCACAAATTACTTTCGTATTCTCTTTTGATGATACAGCTTTCTTTTTTAGGTCATCTATTAATTCCCATTGTTTTCCACTTCGTTTGCAGTAAGCATTGTAATGCCCTACTGATGTTCTTAGCTTACTATTTCCTCTACGATAATTTACTACTCCTCGTAATTCATATGTTAAATCTTTATATATTAAAACTTGAGGAATATCACATAACTGTACTTCAATTAAGTGACCTACTTCTGAACTACATGTTGTTTCAATTAAATTATATTTTTTATATCAATTAAAATTATTTGTTATTCAAAGTATATTGCTTAGCTAAATTTTAAATATTTAAGTAAGATTAATAGTTTTAAGATTGAAAAATACGACAGCAAATCGGATAAAATTTTTTGTTCAGCTATTTTACTTCTAATATATTATAAGCATTGCATTAAACCTAATCAACATTTTTTAATCCAGATACTTAAAACTTAACACTTATAATTTTTACTTTCAAAATTCCACGGGTTGAATTTTTTTTTATAATATTTTCTATTATTTGGTATTATATACTTAAACGTACATATTTTTTATCTATGTTCTCTGAATCACAAATTATTAAATTAATATAATCTTGAATGTAATTAACTTAACAAACCTTGAATTTCCAGAAGGTTTTTCTTTAACAAACCCTTTAAAGTGAGAACAACAAATCGAACACCTTCCTATGACACAAATATACACGTTTCCTTCCGTGAACACTTTAGCTCTCTTGAATGAGATACAACATGGCAAGTTCGTGTGTTCCCAAAAATGTTCAGCCAACAGTGGGGTCCACGAGCCTTTTGGTAAGACATAATAAGAACGACAGCTTCTCATAGGACGGTTTTTATCACTTGCTTTGTAAATAACTTCTTGAGGCTGTATTTGCTGCCATTCGGATGGTGAAAATGTAAACTGAAATGAAATGTTTTTTTTTTGGCAAAAAATCAGGATTGTCACTATCATCAGTCAAGTCTATTGCAAATAAATACACAAAATAAATGTTATAAAACAATTTTAACTATTTTGAATGAGTGCATGATAAATGTGATATTCATCACAAATCATTTTTTTTAACTCTCGTAATTTACCTTCATTTAGAACAAATTGGAGTATTTATTGCATACTTTTATTTCAATGTAAGATCATATAATTATTATGTAAGCAAAAAAAAATGCATACCTGAATCAGTTTGACAATACAACTCATCTGGTTTCTTCATTTGATTTGTATTTTCCTGTACTATTGCAGGAAGTAAGCCTAATGCTTCTTTTACTCCATGTCTGCCATTATGAACAAACAAATGTAATGCATTTTTACTTATCCTCCCATTTAAATGCATACTTATATCCATCCATACATCATTTGTTCCAACAACAACGTCTAATAAAATTAATAAACATAAAATTCATAGATAAAAAAGCGGGTAAGTGGGTATCGCTCTGCTGTACATTAGGTGCCGTATGGATTACTATTATATATTATAGAAATGTTAAATTTGAATGTAATGATAGGTATCATGTAAAGAAAATGCCAATTTAAATAACTGGTGACATTTTCAAGTATCTTGTACGACTTATACTTTTTGAATAATAACAAATATTTAAAATCGTTTGAGCACAAATCGTTATCGTTACGTGTTTTCGTAAAAATTTAAAATTCAAACGTTCATAACATTTTTCCTATAATGACACTTTTATCTATAGCTACTAGAAAGAAAACTTATGGAAAACTTAGTGTTGAATTTTTTATACTTAGATATAAACAAAAAAAAGGTGGGTAAGTGGATGTCGCTCTGCTGTACTGTAGGTTACAAGTGGGTCAGGGTACAATGGATGGTATTAAATTTGAATTCAATGATATAATATCATTGTATAAGAAAAACGATTCTGAGTGGAGACGGTATGTCAATCTAGGTATAAGACATAATATATACTTATCGATGATATTAAAAAAAAAATTGACCTATAATGGATACCTATAATAAATTCCAAATTAATCATATCACAATATCCATTAGGTATCATATATCCCCGAATAATATTTTTAAATTACAACGAAAACCAAGATCGTAAATATTGATTTTAATATGTAATTTCGTCTAATTGGTCGAAAACAGGTTTTGCGTAAAAATTCCTGTTTTTCCGTCACTTTTTTTTTGTTTTTCTCGATTTTTTTGAAAACTGTCGGAAAATGTTTAATTTTGACCTCTATAATGCACCAAGGATATTCACTTTGTCATCGGAAACCACCCCGAAGTTTGAAATTGAAGGATTATTTCGACTAGTTATGCTGTACACAGACGCAAAAAAAAAAAAAAAACATATCATTGTAAAATCAATTCATTCATCACTTCCTTCAGAATCTAAAAGCGGGTAAGTGGATGTCGCTCTGCTGTACAGTAGTTTACAAGTGGGTTACTGTAATGCATGGTATTAAATTTGAATTCTATGATATAATATCATTGTATACGAAAAACGATCGGAGACGAGTTTTCAGTCTTGGATATTTTATACAATATTAATTATATTATTTTTAAACAAAATGTAGGTACCTATAAAATGAATTCCAAATTAATCAAATTAGATTCATTATGTTACTTGGAACCTTGTATCAAATTTTCAATACTTAGCTATAAAATTAAAATATTTTATACATTTTTAACACCTAAAGAATTTGTAAATTTCCAATTAAACAAATTTTGTCAAAATTTGAACTTTAAATAGTTATAAAAAAAATCATGATTATTTATTTTTAATATTTTTTCACTGCTATCGTGAGAATATATTAGAAACTTTGTATTAAATTTTGAAGCTTTTTTACCCAACGAATAAAATGTTATTGTCATTTAAAAAAAAAAAGAATAAAAAGATTGAAAATTTCAAATGTCTATAAATAATTTAAAAAGGTTTTGAAATTTTTTTGAAAATTGTATCATTTATAGAAAATGCATCTTGATAGAAATCTTTTATGAAACAGTTTATTTTAACAAATATAGATATTTTATTATATTTAAATTTTCTATTAATTAAATTTTTTTTATTAAATATAGATTTTTTTATTCAATCAAGATTTTTTTTGTTCTACTTAGGTTTCATATCAAATTTAGATCTATTCATAATTTGTATTTCAATAAAAAAAGACAAGTAGAATAAAAACTAGAAACAAATCTAAATTAAATAAATAAATCTGTATTTAATGAAAAAAATTCTATCAAGATTTGAATGGTAAATAACAGTAATGGTAAAAATTACCATAACTTTGAATTTGAAACTTCAATGGAGTAGCTGCAGTGATCCACTCGTTTATTTTCGTATCGATAATATTTGGGTATTTATAAACTGTTCGTTGCCGCGATAGATATGAAACTTGTGGACCTATGGCGTGGTACCGGGTGGGGTATAAGTATGATTTTAGAACACGCTATAGCATGGTGCGTTAGCACCACATGATTGCCAAAAGATGTTCAATTTTTCGGACAACAATTTTCTTCAAATACAGTACAATTACTACAATTAGCAAATTTGGGCTAAGGTCTTGTTGATCGTAGAAACAAGATTAATAATTATTGAAATATTGATTATTTCTTGATTTTATATGAATATGAATCATTAAAAAACAGTGAACATTTTAAAGTAATATAAAGTTGGTTTGAATAAAAAAACTTTTCCAGTTTTGTTGTACATTTTCTCATATTTATTTCGATTACCTTAGTAGGGACTTAGCAGGTACTACCTGCCAATATTGTGTTTCTTTAATTAAAGAGGAGAAAAAAAATCATGTTTTTAAAATTGATCCATGCAATTATAAATGTTATATGTCAGTATGTTATTACTTATTATAATAGGTAGGTACTTACGTTTAACACCATCATTGTCAGTGGCTATAACTCGGTCTTTAAATAAAATAACTGCATCAATGATCACCTGATGTGGTACACTAGGTTTTCGCCCACGCATGATCAAAATAATATTGAGATCGATGGCTGGTACCTAATATCTGTTTATAATTTAATCACAAGGGCGCAAAACACAGAACTCAGAAACAAAATGGAACTAATGTAAAAACTTACAAATAAAATAGTTAAAACGTTAAAAATCCACACATCTTACTGATAATAGTATAAGTTATTGAAAATAATCAAAATAACATAAATACATATTAATATTTGTTATAAAAATAACCTCACAAATGATAACTGAAAAGCACATCTGCACGCAGTGTTGCCCTAAACGGGTTGTTTAACATGCGACACGTATAATAATAATTGTGTATTATAAACTATTATAGTGGTAACAATGAATAATATTATTATTGTATCTACAATCTACCTACTTATGTAAATCAATACAATATTCAAGTAGGTAGGTGATATTTATTAAGATTATATTTCAGGGATGAAAAACTGTATTTGCAAAATTGGTTAACAATAATTATTTAAACAATGTTATATAAAATTCCATACTAGATAAACTGCATAGAAATTTTTTTGGAAAACGTAATTTTAGTCTGTTGTGGGGGCTGGGGAAACGTCATATTAGAAAAATGCGTTTTTCGGTTGTAAGGAATTTTCAGAAATTTTCGAGGATGGTCGTACAAATTTGTACAAATTCCGTACTAAATATTTGCATAGTTGTTTTTTGCAAAAAAGTATTTTTAGTGTGGTGGGGGGGCTGGGGAAACGGCAAAAGAGTAAAATGTGTTTTTGGGGATGAAAGAATTTTCAAAAAATATTTTTGACGATCGTACAAATTCGTACAAATTCCGTACTAAATATTTGCATAGTTGTTTTGTGCAAAAAAGTATTTTTAGTGTGGTGGGGGGGCTGGGGAAACGGCAAAAGAGTAAAATGTGTTTTTGGGGATGAAAGAATTTTCAAAAAATATTTTGGATGGTCGTACAAATTCGTACAAATTCCGTACTAAATATTTGCATAGTTGTTTTTTGCAAAAAAGTATTTTTAGTGTGGTGGGGGGGCTGGGGAAACGGCAAAAGAGTAAAATGTGTTTTTGGGGATGAAAGAATTTTCAAAAAATATTTTTGACGGTCGTACAAATTCGTACAAATTCCGTACTAAATATTTGCATAGTTGTTTTGTGCAAAAAAGTATTTTTAGTGTGGTGGGGGGGCTGGGGAAACGGCAAAAGAGTAAAATGTGTTTTTGGGGATGAAAGAATTTTCAAAAAATATTTTGGATGGTCGTACAAATTCGTACAAATTCCGTACTAAATATTTGCATAGTTGTTTTTTGCAAAAAAGTATTTTTAGTGTGGTGGGGGGGCTGGGGAAACGGCAAAAGAGTAAAATGTGTTTTTGGGGATGAAAGAATTTTCAAAAAATATTTTTGACGGTCGTACAAATTCGTACAAATTCCGTACTAAATATTTGCATAGTTGTTTTGTGCAAAAAAGTATTTTTAGTGTGGTGGGGGGGCTGGGGAAACGGCAAAAGAGTAAAATGTGTTTTTGGGGATGAAAGAATTTTCAAAAAATATTTTGGATGGTCGTACAAATTCGTACAAATTCCGTACTAAATATTTGCATAGTTGTTTTGTGAAAAAAAGTATTTTTAGTGTGGTGGGGGGCTGGTGAAACGTTTCTACAACCCCCCCACTCAAATTTTGGATTAACTGCATAAATTAATTCATACAAATTGTGTTTTTTATCGTACAAATTCGTACAAATTCAGTACTAAATGTTTTGCAAAAAAAAATTGCGAAAACACGAGGTGGGGGGGCTGGGGAAACGTACGTAATGTACTTGGAAATAGTCCCATCATTTATTTATCTAGACTTAACAACTTCTCGTGTTAACTTAGGTAGGTACTTCACTTAAAATGTATGCACAGCCAGTTAAAGTGTTTGACGAAAAACAATGTATTAAGGTAATATCTGTACTAACGTAAAATCTAATAACACGGGATAACAAAATATTTTTTAAAATTACGGGCCACGGGACTCCTGAAATGTGTTACGAATAATTAATAATTCCTATTGGGCGGTATTAAAATGTAATAATATCGCTAATTACATGTAATACAATTATTTTGAACATAGTAACTGGTAAGCTTTACGACAGTCAATTTTTTGTAATATTGTGCTTTATGCATTGGAAAAACGATTTGGAACGACACACAACGATCATTAATTGGACAATTGGTACAATACAAACAGCCATTATACAAAGTGTGATCATAATTATGATAATAATATGGACACTAATAATATTCTCGTAATGATGACAACAGTTAATAATGATATTATTCAATACATTATAATATTATAACGATAATAGCATTGAGTACACTAGACGATATAACTGGTATAATAATAATTTATTTTACATCGAATAACAGTGTCTATTAAGGGTTTTGCGTGAAATATCTCATATTGTTATATAATATCGTATAATATTTAAATATAAATAAATAAATAATAAAAATACGGACATGAATAGTGTTTTATCGAGTGCCTCGCGTCTCGTGTATATTCTAACCGTTATCGGTAAATGTACCTACCGAGTACAAACGGGTTGCGGCCGTATACGGCGACGTTTGAACTCAAACGCCTTCTTGTTTGTGTGTGAGTCGTGAGTGTGTGTGTGTGTGTGTGTGTGTGTGTGTGTGTGTGTGTGTGTGTGTGTGTGTGTGTGTGTGTGTGTGTGTGTGTGTGTGTGTGTGTGTGTGTGTGTGTGTGTGTGTGTGTAGTGTGTATAGACAAACAAGACATTCGGACATACGTAGCACGTACGAAGTAGATCATTAGTTACACTATAGTTATACACCGTCATCATACGGTAGATTAGTCGAAGGTAGGTATGTTTCTTCGGTGAATACATATTATTATATAGGTATGTATAACGCGTTCGTTCGAAATAAGGGATTTGACGAGGCATGATGATATAGAAACGAAATGATAATAATAATAATAATAAAAAAAAAAAAGGTCTTCATTAATTTTGCTAGTCCGACAGCGGAGGGATGTATATTATATATATAAGTTATAAGTCACGAGGGCGGCGACGTCGACTGGTATATTTATATACTCGAAACAATAAAATAACGACTGCTCTAGCCTCACAAAGGTTACACGAGATTGATATGGATCATTATTGCAAATGTGTGTGTTTATGGTAAAGTTCAAGGGGGGGGGGGACAATAATATTGGTCAACTGAAATTGTGATTGTACCATATACCTACCAGAGTTGGAAGGAACGCGTTCCTGGAACGCGTTCCTTTTATAGGAACGAAGCTCGGAACGCGTTCCATTTAAAATATAGGAACGAGGAACGGGAACGAGTTCCTATTTTGAAGGAACTTGAACGAAAATTTCCGTTCCTCAAATAATGAAAAAAAAAAATATAAATATATTTATTTTTAACACGTTGAGTGCCACAGTATATTTTATGAAGCGCATATAGTGTGTTTCCGCGCCAAAACTGAGCAGCTCCTAGAAAGGAGTGAGTTAACCGATTTCAGTGGTGGTCAATGGTGTTTTTTTGCGAAAAATTTTTAAGTCAGAAATAATCGGTTAACTCTCTCGGTTCGATTATTTCTGACTTAAAAATTGTTCGCAAAATACACCATTGACCACCACTCAAATTGCAAAAAAAGGAACATGAAGGAACGGGAACGCGTTCTTTTTTGGGACAGGAAAGAGGAACGGGAACGAGTTAATTTCTTACAGTAGGAACGAGGAACGGGAACGAGTTCCTTTTTAAAAGGAACTTTCCCAACACTGATACCTACCTATAATAATATAATTCTATAAGTCCCGTAGAGTGTAAATTAGGTAAACTCCGATGAGTTTATTTTACTTGAGTATTTCTTTTTTTTTCTCCATTTTTTTGGTTCAATTTTCAACAAAAAAAGTAACAATATTTTATCCTCATAATTATGTAGCTCTTGTGAACGATGAAATGTAAACATCGTATCAGCTACGAAAGTACGAATTTAATAATATGTTTCATATGTTACTATATATATTATTATAATGTATTTATTTATTCAGCCAAAACAGTTACAATTAAATTATTACAATAAAATAAATTAATAATAGCTGATACGAATACACCAACTGAGCTATAAGCTCGTATCTGGTATAAGGAGTTCAACGATATTACAATTCGTTTAAAGTAAATACTAATACAATAAAAATATGATATAATTAAATAAACATAACATGATAAAAAAAAAATTTAGAAACAAAAATTTACATCAGCATTACATATTATAGGTACATATTAATATATTATAAGATATTATGTTAAGACCTATTGACTTTTTATGATTTTATTGATACATCAATTATCATCAAGATCCGCACTAACTATTTTATTTATTGCCTTTTTTATTTGATTTTTATTAATTATATTAATTATATCATTGGTATTATTGGATTGACTTTCACATAAACTTTTTATTAGACTCTTTACTTCGTTATTTAAATTGTTGAAAATAGTTTTCCCCATGTAATTAGGAGAATTTATGGAACTAGTTAATAAAGTATATGACGGTTTAATGTATTTTCGTTTTCTTATGTAAATTATTTAATTGGATACAGTATACCCAATTGAATTTTACGTAATATAATGTATTACAGAAAATATAATTTTAGGAAAACATTAAACAATTTTAATACACACGTAAAAAGTGATTCTTATCACCATAGAACACTAATTTTCATGATAAATTTATATTTTTTACTGCATGCTCAACACAATATTTTTGAAAACTAATTTTATATTTGTTCTAGAACTTTTACATTTTAATTTTTAAATGACAACATAATGTATTTTTGATTTCCTATACCGAAGTGGTGAAGTAGAATATTATTTTGAGTATTTAAAACCAGTAGACAGTTAATTATTCATAATAGTGAATATGTATATTTTAAAGTAAGTACTAAGTATACTGCAGAAGAGCAGATAAGTGCACCAACTTTTTCTTGGAGTATTTCTG